TCACTTCCTCTTCAACTGCCCACAAAACCGATAAACTGCATTTAAAAATGCCAAGCAGTGAATACTGGCCGCAATGAGCGAAGAATACCTGCGGCAACAAGCAGACGAAAACTAAAATAGAGGAGGTAATCAGGCTATGCTCAGCAAGGTACTAAGAAATTCTCCCCCTCCCTTGAGAATTGTATCTTCGTTTAATAGCAATTCAAAATACTACAACAATTGAAAATCAACACTAGAAAAATAGCTCACCCCGTAGAATAATAACAGGACGGTAAGAGCAACACTATTGTAATGGAAGCATTATTACTTATCCAGTTTTGTATGTACTTGATTGAAAAATGATATTGTAAAGCAGTTTAAAAATGATATCGAGAAAATCCAGTCAATGTGTAAATGAATTACAAGTTTCATTTGATTATCTCAGTAAAAGTATTGTAAATATGAATTCAGATAATGTTTAAATGTACACATAACTGTCATGATTTTATGTAACTATCATATGTAACTTGTACAAGACAATGACTGTAATCAACATATCTATGCTTATACACAGGCCTTGTATGCTCATATAATATTTATATTTATATTTTTACACTGAGGAAATATTCCCTTCTGCCAGGATGACTATTAACACTGTAAGGCTTTTACAACAAAGTCAGTGGTTATCTCAGGCGGCGCTCGGCTGCTATGCAAACTAATGGTCTGTAAAGTGAACTAAACAAGAAATGCACAAAAATTAAGTTTAGCTATCTTCCAAAGGGAAGAAATGCCACTATGAGGTCTTTCTAAGGGAAACTGGTTCATATTCAAGTTACACATGAGGAAACTGCAAAAACCGACCATGCAGGCAACCTGTTTGTTCCCTTGGGACCGAACCTAAGTCGAACGATTTTAACCACGATATTCAACAGTCTTAATCACTCTAAATACATAAAAGGGTTTAATTTTATTCTCTTACATATTTTATTTCGCTCAGTCTTCACTTACTGCTATGCGTTTATGTTCAGATGATTGAAAAGTGGAGGACGTACAGAGAAATAATAAAGGATTTTGCAGAAAATGAAACTATCCAGATGAAAATTTTAATAAATCCAGATTCTTTTAATATTTACTTATGATGACTTTTTATCATCAGTTTTCTCAGTTACTCTATAGAGTCGTCAGGTTTGTCGAAATAGGCAGTATGAAAAATCAACGATGTCCTAATCAGAATTCGAAATCCGTATCTCCTGATGATAGCCTGACATGCTTTCCACAAAGGCACTGCTAAAGAGAGAGAACCGTACAATATTAGTCAACCACAGTATTATCTTATTTAACCCATCCCCCCAAAAAAATAGATTTGATGGAAAGAAGAAAATTAAGAACGTAGAGTAAATGAATGGACAAAGAGGGGAAAAACTTCAAATGTGTCCTTTATAAAAAATAAAATATGCAGAGGCTGTTCACACATTTTTAGACGATGTATATTGTATTCACAAAACTAAATTACATAAAATTCTTGTGTTTTAAATGTTCTATTTGGCATCCCTTATTCCGAACTAGCTTTCGACACCGCAATTTCCAGGATAATAATGCCTTTTGAAGTGACAGAAGAGATATTCTATCCCATTCCTCCCGAACAGCTTTCCAGAGTCCTGCTAGGGTTTTGGGACAACGTTTGGATAATACAGTTTTTAAAAGTCCGAAAGCACAAAAATTCATAGGTGACACATCGGGAGATTTAGTAGGGATATCAGTAAAGGGTATGGCCTTGATACCAGTTTAGGAAATTTACAGTGGATTTTGATGTGTGACTGCTAGCTTTGTCCTGATGGAGTCTCACAGATGGATGGCATTGTGCGTAAAGCGATGGTATTTCATTCAGAAACATTTTAGATAAAATATGTTTCTGATAGTATTTGGAGTTAATCTTGACATTTTTTTGCACATTCTTTATTTTTAACTTGCCATTATAAGAAAAACCAGCAACAATCATGAATCCCTTAGAAAAACTTTCTTTCGATTCCTTGAACTATGTACTTGAATTTTTTCCTCCCCTTTTATGATAATAAATGGCTCTTTTTCTGTTACATTCCTTTAAATACACCCATGGTTCATCTATTGTGACAATTGTTTTCCATTTTTGTTTGTTTTCATATTGGTACCCTACAAGCGCGTGCTTATGATAATTAATAATCAATTCAGCCCCGACCAAAATCATCATTACTGTAAGGCTATTGATTCCACCCTTTTTTTGGGGGGGGTACTATAAATCATGGAGAGGGGGGCCCAGAAATATATTTTTGCATAGAGGCCCGTGAATTTTACTTACGCCGCAGCCTATTAAGATAAAATTACAAAGACGTAGATTGAAACTATAAATATTTTTGTAAAAGAAGAATGAAAGTAATAATGAACAACAATTTGTCCAAAACAATGGTAACAGCTAACAGCATGAAGAACTGTGTGCCTAATGTGGTGTAGGAAAAATTTGGCCAATTCGTCCAAAACAATGGTAACAGCTAACAGCATGAAGAACTGTGTGCCTAATGTGGTGTAGGAAAAATTTGACCAATTCGTCACAACAATGGTAACAGCTGACAGCGTGAAGAACTGTGTGCCTAATGTGGTGTAGGAAAAATTTGGCCAATTCGTCCAAAACAATGGTAACAGCTAACAGCATGAAGAACTGTGTGCCTAATGTGGTGTAGGAAAAATTTGGCCAATTCGTCCAAAGCAATAATAACAGCTAACAGCATGAAGAACTGTGTGCCTAATGTGGTGTAGGAAAAATTTGGCCAATTCGTCCAAAACAATGGTAACAGCTAACAGCATGAAGAACTGTGTGCCTAATGTGGTGTAGGAAAAATTTGGCATCCAAACTTCTTGAAACTGTTTTGGAATAGAGGCATACAACTTCTGAATGGTATTAATGGTATTTCATTTTACTGTCAGACCTGCTCCAAGATGCCGGAGATGCTGGAAGATACTGGGGGGGGGGAATAAAGCGGGATCTTACTTTACTTTCCAGCCCATATTACACTGGTTCAATGATTTTTACATCTGATGATCCTGCAGGCCAAGAAAGATATATAACTTCGTCTTAAGGTTCTTTAATACGACTGAATTTGACTGAAGAACATGAGACATTTTGAAAGATGCGATTACTTGTAAGAAACAGTGTCAGAGCCATAGAATGGACATGATCACTTAAATATTTGTGTGTCACTGGTATATATTCTTCTCCGTAAAATCATATTTGGGTCTGCAGTAAAGCCCGATACACTTATCCAAAGTTTAACTAAATCACCGCCATGTTTTAGTGTAGGAAGCAGACAGTCTGAATGAATCGTGATCTTCTGCTAGTATTCTCCGGACGTAAAAACTGACACAATACTTGTTTTTACTGATCAGCATTTTATGTGTCATGTTCCCGTTACCACTGTAGCTCCCATTTTTTTTATTTATTACTGAAACAAGAAGTTTGGTTTTCAATAGCAATTCTACTGTAAATATTCCTCTTACACGACTGCTTTTTGTTGTATACATCAAAATTGGGTTCTTTAGATGCCCTTTAAAGTTCAACAATCAACTTTTTTTTCTTTTTTTTTTCACAGCAGATAGATTTTCCTTTTTATGTAATTACCTTGTAAGATATTTTCTTTCACCTTCCCGCATGCCTTTGAGGCGTAGCTGGAAGAACAATCGGCGTGTCAAAGCCAGCAATGGCAACACATTATACGAAAAATAATATTTTTAGGGCCAGCCCGAGAAACAGTCTAGCGGAAACTCGAAAGATATTATAAGGTATTTCTCCCGCCCTCATAGCATGCCTTCGTGGTGTAGTGGTCAGCACAATCGGCGCGTATTCGAGAGGTCCGAGGCTCGAATCCCGGCAATGACATTGCACATTTTTCATGTCTCCAGCGTAAAATGACTTAATGACTCTACAAGGGGTGTCCGAGTTAACAAGTGGTGGACAATCACCACCAGGATTTGGCGGTTGAGTCCCCTCTTCCCCAGTCGCCCTTTGTAAGGAGGATGTAAGTATTTCCTTTCTTCTTCTCGCATGCCTTCGTGGTGCAACTGGAAGCACACTCGACGCCCATTCGGGAGGTCCGGAGGGTACTGCACATTTTTCACGTCTCCAGCATAAAACAACCTAAGGACTCTACAAGCTTGTTTAACATCCTTTTGGGTCTGCATCCTCAATTTCAACCCACAACTGTGTCTGGCAGGTGATGTTTTCAGAGAATATCGTATGTTGTTATAACTTTAGGACCGTATTTCCAATAATTTTGTGTCTGATGTTACACATGTGCTAATGAGCCGGATATTAAGCATCTAACATTTTTGGAATTCATCCGTCTTTGCTTTTTTTTCCCTATAACCTAAGCTTTCCAAACATAATTGGACTTTGAAGCTTTACACAATCTCTAAAATATATATAAAATAATGACTTTTCCCCAAAAGGCGGGGATTATTTTTACGGTTTATTGTGTTAGTTTTATTGTCTATAAAAGTGCAACATTAAGTTTTTAAGCCTGATGTTTCCATTACTTTGGACAAATCCTGTATGTTGTTGACTAGTATATTTTCATTTTTATTCTGGAATTTCATTGCTGAAACATTTTTCTTTCTTTTCTCAAAGTATTAGCGGTTTAATCAGTTTTAAAAGTCTAAAGAAAACTTTCTTAAACGAATGATTTGATGTTTAATTACGAATTCTCCATTGAAGTTGAATAAATTTAGAAAGACTTTCTTAGCGTATGGAGATCTGAGTTCCATTTAGACGCGTGCACATTTTTATTTGTAAGGAAATTTTTGAAATAATAATTTAAAATTTTTTTTTATTTGAAGGGAAGGAAAAGTGTATAAAATACCCTGTCAAACTAAAATGGATAATGTAATTAAATTCTGATAGATAAACCTAATCTGCCTATTTTTATAATTAATTTGCTATTAGATCCAATCAGAATTTCACAAATAAAAACACTTTTTTGGATTTTGCTACTTACCTGAGCAAATTCTCGAATCCTATCGGAGCCAAGTCGGTAATCCTAATGACTTTCGATTTGTCCGCCATGTCCCCGTAAAACATGGCTTCGAAGACAGGCGATGTCATAGCCAGGAGAACTCTGTGGCCCACATACTTCTTAGAAGCCGAAGGAGGGCCCACTATGAAAGTCACGTCGCTCAGTGCCGTGTTCTGAAGCAGGGACGAGGTCCGCTGCAGCACTTTCTCGCTCTCCATGACGATTGGTCAATGTCGATTCCTCCTAAATCGCCATTGCCTGCAAAAGACATCAAAACAGAAGGCTAGAAAAAGGACAGCACTATTAATTCCCTCATCGTTGTCGACCCACATCGGACAACGAGGCTTTCTATTTCCTTTTTACCGCAGACATGATTAGAGGTCTGCAAACATCTCGAGCGAGAAGCAATTTGGGTATGGACTGTGATTTTCGTTTTGCATATGGAACGGGGGGATCTTCCCTAATCGCTCTAGTGACCTAGATCCAGAGTATTTCGTTTAATTGCGTTTGACACATACCACCCACATTTCGCTAAAAGCTTGTTCAAACAATATGATTAAGTTACCAAGAAGGATCGGCTTCCCTGCAATTAAAGCTTTGTTTGCACCAATTAGCATGCAAAGTATAGATTGTTTCATTTGGCAGTATTTCATGTGCATGTGCCAGGAGATTAAAATTCCACATTCGTAACTCTATAATGTGAAATCCATTAATATTCTTTGGGAGAATAACGTAAAAATTATCATTCGCTCGAAATGAGGTTATTTAAAGAAGGGTTAAAAAAGAAAAACTTTCGCAATTTACTCAAGTGTTATAAATTACCGCTAGAAGGTCGAATTTTTAGTGGATGTTTGCTGATAGAATGTTTGCATAGAATATTTTAAAATCATTCCAATTCTTACTGTTATCATAGTCATCACGTATTAAATAATTGAAAATCCAAATAGGCATTAATTAATTCGATTCTGTATTAATTTTTTTTGTACAAACCTAATTTTCGAAAGCATTTTCTTCAAAAATTTATTTTAACGATTTTGAATTTTACATAATACTTCTGAGATATTAAATTTGTGAACCACACTAACTTGATCTGATAAAGAATTTGATAATTCGTTATTAATTCAAACTACGCAAAAGATGTTACAAAATTTCGTGACTAAAATTTGTTATAATGAATTTAATATGGTATGCATAAAGAATTTGACATTATAGTGCACATACGAGTTTCAGTCGTCATAACACACATGAAGAGTTTGCATAATATGATACATGCATAAAATGATTTGTGAAATATATTACGTTTCCCGCACTGACATAAGGATGATATTACTTTTCCCATCGCAGTAAAAATTTTGAACATTGCTATTCATTTTATTGTTTTTCTTCTGCAATCTTATCTTTGATTTCTGGAGATGAAGACAGAAATGTCAGAAATCTAAATTGATGAATAATGGCGAGTACCTTTGTAGATTGTTTTTAAAGCAGGAAAGATGAAAAATGAGCAACGATCTTGCCGGGAATCGAACCATGGACCTCTAGAATGCGCGTCTAGCGTGCAGACCACTACCCCCGCGGTTCGATTCCCGGCGAAGGCGTTGCTAATTTTTCAATCTCTCTTGTCTGCTTCCAAAAATACCTAACGTCTCTACACTACCGCCCGAACTAAAAGGCTGTTGGGTGATGATTCTCCACACCCAGGATTTAGCGATTGGGTCCCCTAAAAACACTAGTAGCCCTTTGAAAGGGGGAGTATATAAGGTATTTACAAATATTCAAGCTTTTAAAAAATTCTTAGTAAAGCATAAACACATTATAAGGAAAACAACAATGGGCAATGGATATTTTAACTAAATTGGGTATAGATTTATGCCAAGTTGCATAACATAGCTCAGAGATTATTGAAAATAATAACTATCCTATTGAAAATAATGACTATTGTGAAAGAGTAAGAAATAATGTCTCAAATAATATAAATATTTAAGACTGTAATAAATAAGAAAAAATAAGATTTTATCAGGATTTATATATACAGGAAAGTAAAAGATTGTGAGGAAGCGTTATTATATTTTATAGATTACATTTATTACATATAAGATTTTATTTATTATATATAGGTATTCAAAATTTTCTATTTAGGTATTCAAAGTAATTCAATTTTATATTTAGGTAATATTTTACATTTAGGTATTCAAAATTTTCTATTTAAAACTATTGTTATAAACCAATATTGTTAAACAAATATGTATATGTCTTATGTCACAGATTGCCACTGTTTGACCATGTATAAATTCTTTATTGTTTTACAATAAATTCGAGACGAAGGGGAAAAGATGTTGCTGTGACCCTCCAGTATTTTATTGGAGGGTTTCACTCGAAAAAGGAGGATGTAATTTTTTTAACGGAGGAATATATAAAGCCGATTAACCATAATGGTAAAAGTATGTTGCCCACGTCCTCCGTTAAAAAAAAAAAAAAAAAATCGCTCTTGCCTGCTTCTAAAAATACCTAATGCCTCTACAAGACGCTGAAAAAGGCTTCTCCTTTTCTCCTTTTGAAGATGCGATTATAAGAAAGCTTCTTCTTTTCAAGATACTACTTTTTCTCAAAAGCATAACAGTTGATTTTACTTTGGACAATAACAAACTACCGATAAGCGTAGGGTTTTTTGGATACGCGCAAAGCTGTAAAATATGCTTACAAATAATACAGGAAATGCTATGAAATATTTATGCTATTTTTGATAAATAAACCATTTTAATATTTGGTAAATAGTTTTGAGCACAGTAAAATTACACTTGCGTTATTTTCAATTATTACTTTAGCGTCACTCTCTGTGTTCAAACGTTAACTAAACCAGCACCTGTTGCTTAAAGTGGATATTTCTGCAACAGGTTCCTGAATAATGAATCTACTAAGAGATGAGCGGATTATCTATCTCTAAGGAAGATTAAATGTTTTACCTTGTTTTTATTCGCTTTTGCCTTCTCAGCAGAAGAACTTCTATCATAAGTAAAGCAGTTTTATAATTACCATGAGGAATTTGAAATCAGTTTTGCTATTTTGCATTCGTTGCAACTCAGTTAGCGATAGCGGATTTCAGCAACATTTAGTTCAAACTTAAAATTATTAAATATTTTCGGGTTTTTTGTTATAAAATATTTTCTGACGCGTATTTAATTTAATGTCTTTATGTAGAGATGTACTGTCTTTTGAGTTCTCAAGAGAGAGTGTAAGCTTGTTGCTGTTATTGCTGACGCTCACCTGTCTGACCTATAATCAACTCAAGCCAATGAAACTCCTCGGGGGAAGGAGCACAAGTTTATTCGCCTGTCGTTGGCAACAGCCTTGAGCATCTTACAGGTGACAGTGAGATTTAGCTCAGTTCCGCCCCCCCCAATTTTGATGGAAAGTACCCCTGGGGACGAGTCCGAGGGTCCCCCAGCCTCTTCTCTTACCACCGACCTCACCAGAGGTCTTTCGACTCACCGCATATTTAGAGTACCCCATGCCGCACGGATACTATACATTTACAAACATCTGTGTCTTCTCCGGAATTCAAACCTGAGCCAAAGAGTATGTATTGTTAAGAAGGAAAGCTTCGCAGCAGCAGGAGTGGCTCCCTCCGAACGAAAAGGGACACAACTGCGCATGCGTGAAATATCTGTCGCCAAAAAGCGCCAAAGCTCGAAGCTGATGTCGAAGTTCGAACAGTTTCGATGGTCACGTTTACCAAGAGTTTTAAAGCTGTGTGACTCCATTTTTTCCCTACATATTGACAGATATAAAATCAGACATCAAACTGCGATATGGATAATACAAGTTCAACTAGTAAAGCAAAAAAGCACGAAAATTCGAGTTTAAATTATAGCGAAATGTCAAAGAACGATTCATCTTAACCCATGTTCCTCAATTTCCTGTACACGTGGCCGGAAGTGGAAAATCTCGGCCAGGTACATCACAAAGGGGGAAATTCTCGCCAACAGGTTCCGTCGCCAAATCCCTTGGCGAATTTTCCCTCTTCTTTCTAGCGGCACGGTAGTCAGCGACGCTAACCACTATACCGGTTGGGCGACTGAATCGAACCTTAAAAGAGAGAGTTTGCAAACTCAGTCTGTCGTGTTGAAACTCGTCCATTGCTGCCTTCCTTTAGCGCTGTGCTATGAGATAGACTATTTCTACTGTTTAAAATCGAGTAAATGGCTGTCACTCTAAATTGGCAAAATATCGCTAAGGTGGCGATGATTTTTGGCGACTAATTTTTATCGCCAAATTTGGCAAGAAATCGCCAAAATTCTTTAAACTTGGAAACCATTTGGTGACATTTTTGTCCAGTCCCTGTATAACTATAATTGGTACTCTAATTTTATTTTCCCGCAAAGCTTCGCTTCTTCATACCAGTAAGTTGTTCTCGCAAGTTACAATTGAATAAAGCTATATTTTGACTTTATTAATATGTTTATTTATGCGGAATGATCGCTGGACTGATAGCCTAGGGTGTGGAAAATACCAAAGAGGGACCTGCTTTTAGATCCCGCACACCAAACAACAAGTTAGAAATTTTTTGTGTTTTTTATAATAAGAATGACTACAGGTAAAATGGGAATACTGACTACTTATTGTTATGACGCAAACTTCAGTTTGATTACATTAGGGGATGATAAAAATACTATACTCGCTTTTCCCAGGAAAATGCAAACCAAAAGCACATTTCATTGCCCAGATAAATACAGATAGAAAGATTTTTGTCAACGTATATTGTTTAGAACCCTTTGTAATGATCCAAAGTGTCCAAACTCTCTCGATGTTAAAGCGAATTATCGTTAAGTACACCATAACAACTGAAACTTGAGAAAGGTGTAAAATACATTTTATTTAAAGTTAAATAAGAGCAAAAGGCACATTTTGTGCTTACAGATCAGCCAGACATTTGTGGGTAGATAACTTAAAATAACAGTAAATCAATTTATAAGGTATTTCTTCCGCCTTCCTAGCATGCCTTCGTGGTGTGGGGGTCTGCACGCTGGGCGCGTATTCCAGAGCTCCGTCGTTCGATTGCCGGCGAATGCTTTGCTCATTTTTCATCATTCCAGCTTCGAAATAACTTAATGTCTCTACAGTGGCGCCCGAACTAAAAGGGTGGTGGATGATGATTCTCCAAACCCAAGATTTGGCGATTGGATCCCCCCAGTCGTCCTTTAAAAAGGGGAGTATATAAGGTATTTCTCCTGCCTTCCTAGCATGCCTTCGTGGTGTGGTGG